GCAGCATGCATATCCAGTGCCCATCATCAGCCACCACTTCACCTCCCTCGCCAGCTCGAAGATCTTCAGGAAGCTTGACCTAGCCCAGGCCTACCAGCAGCTGCCTGTGGATGACACCTAGAAGCCCAGACCATTGTCACCCACCGAGGAGCCTTCAAGGTCAAGCAACTCCAGGTTGGCGTTAGTATGGCACCCAGGATATTCCAGGGCCTTATGGACACTCTCCTCAAGGTTATCCCGGGAGTCATTCCAATGTTAGACAACATACTCATTGTGGGCTCCTCCAATGTTGAGTTCATCAGCCGCCTCTGCAAGGTACTCCACTGCTTTCAGTCTGCTGGCCTGCGTGTCAAGCGGGAACAGTGCCTCCTGGGCATCCCAAAGGTTGAGTTCCTTGGATACCTCATCGATGCAGATGGCATACACCCCACTCCCGATAAGGTTAAAGCCATTGTGAACAGCCCACCTCCAATGTCAAGGCAGGAGCTCCAGGCATTTCTTGGACTCCTGAACTTTTACTACTCATTCCTGCCACACAAGGTAGCCTTGGGCAAGCCACTTCACTGTCTCCTGGACAAGAAGTCTCCCTGGGTCTGGGGCTGCTGCCAGAATGCTGTGTTCCAAGACGTGAAAACCCAGCTCACATCCAACTCCATTCTCAGCCATTTCAATGAGTCCTTCCCAATGGTCCTCGCCTGTGATGCCTCTCCGTACAGCATAGGCACTGTCCTCAGTCATGAGCTTCTGGATGGCCAAGAGGCGCCAATCACCTACTATTCACGCACATTGACTTCTGCAAAGAGGAACTATGCATACATCAACAAGGAGGCCCTGGCAGTTGTGGCTGGTGTCAAAACATTTCACGACTACCCCTTTGGCCGTCGGTTCCCGGCCGTCGGTTCGCCATTGCCATGGACCACAAGCCCTTGCTGGGACTCTTCGCTCCGGACTGCTAAATGCCTCAGATCCTGTCACCTTGCATCCTGCATTGGTCCATCTTCCTGTTGGCCTATCAATACACTCTGCATTGCCAGCCAGGCAAGGTGATGGGCCACGCCAACGTACTCAGCCATCTTTCGCTTCCCATTTCTGAACCTCCACTACACACTTCAGACATCACCATGCATTCAGCTAAAGACTGCATCATCTCCCAGGTCCTCAGCTGGGTATGGAGGGGGTGGCTGACCAGCTGCAAGGACGCAGAATTCATGGCGTACACCTCCCACCAGCAGGAGATCTCGGCCCACAAGGGCTGCCTCCTCTGGGGAAGTCAAGCAGTGGTCCCCACAAAGCTCCAAAACCGAATCCTGGAGGCCCTCCATGAAGCCCACCCCAGCATCATGTGAATGAAGGCTCTCGCCAGGAGCTACATCTGTTGGTCCACTGATGCCACACCTGCTAAGAGTCCTGGCCCAAAGCCCCCAGGGTGCCAGTTCAGCAGTGGGAGTCCACCCACACACCATGGTCCCGACTTCATGTCAACTTCACAGGACGCAGTCACTCTGCCTCTCTGGCTTCATGTCATCTTCACGAGACGCAGCCACTCTGCCTTCGCCTCTTCTGTGTCACACCCACTATTTAACATTTGTCATTCAATCTCTCCTCATTCCCCTCCTTACTATAAACTCCATCTTTAAAAAAAAATAGACTTCATCTTAACTGCATGTTGTGCATGCAAGTCCCAGGATGCCGCTCACTCATCTTCTCCACATTAGAATGCTGATCGTGACCATAAGGATTCTAACAGAAAGTATTAACCATTATTTATTGCTATATCCTTAATAATACAATATGAGATGGAATCTATTTCCCAGTTTATCTAGCTGTGGTACACCAGTATATTTTAAAGGGGTCATGAGACACTTACTCGCCTTCAGGCTGTTCTGGTTTTCCCTCTCCAGTCAAGCTAATGGGAGTTGGGAACAGCTAGGTTCTTTCCGCACTTGGATCTCATCCCTGGTCCTTTGTTCTGTTGGAGTAAAGCATGCCTGGACATTGGGGGTGCTATATTGCTCTTTGTATGCATTATCTTCTCTTTGTTTAAGATGGGAGCTTCTCTCTGACTCTTCCTTCTCTTCCTGTGCTCTTTGTGCTCTCTCTCTCTCTGTCCTCATGGACCTGCAAGAAGCAGGACACGTCTACAGGTCTCTCTCGCAGAGTCATGCCATCATACTTGTACACATGTACAGCCAGATTAGCTGGCTATTTGTAACAGGAATAGTATCCTTTAGATTAGGTTTATATCTCCTTTCTACTGCAACATGGATGTGAATTGAATCTGCCTTAATAAATGTAAGTTTTAACTTTTTTGCCATATACTTGGTTGGAGTCTGTTCACTGCACATGATACTATCCTTTCCTGATTGTGCAACTTTGCTGTATTAACAAGTACCTGTTCCCAATATGTTCCTCCTACCCTGCACATAAAACAGGTGAGAGATGTTAATCCCACAGCTAATCACCTTTTAGGGGCTGAGCCAAGAATATTTGTTTTCCTTCAGATTGGTATGGAAGAGGATACTTTTTATCTAGGGGTGATTTAATTATAACTAGGCCTGGCCTTGAACTGGTTAGGCCATAACAAGAGAAGGCAGGAACAGTGCCAATTGGTAGGGCATGAATAGGGTTAATTTGCAGGCACCCTGAGGCATGGGGGGCTTAACAGATTCAGTGTGGGGAGTCCAGGGAGATGAGACTTAACACCACTCAGCACTGTTTGTTACATACAGGGTAGGATGAACAAAGCCAACAGTAATGCTGACCAAATTTGGAGTCAGGATGGATTTGCCCTAAATGCTGGTAAACTGGCTAGGATGCTTCTGAGCAGCAACCACCACTAAACTTTAGGGTAGTGTTATGTTGATGTAGATAATCCACTAATAAAACTTAGCCCATATATTTGGTGTCCTATACCTTTATTTAGGGTGCTGATACAAATTGTGCAGTCCTATTTTAACAATTTTGAAATACAAGAAGAAGAAGAAGAAGAAGAAGAAGAAGAAGAAGAAGAAGAAGAAGAAGAAGAAGAAGAAGAAGAAGAAGAAGAAGAAGAAGAAGAAGAAGAAGAAGAGATTGGACTTATACCCCGCCCTTCACAACCCAAAGGTGTCTCAGAGCGGCTTACAAACTCCTTTCCCTTCCCCTCCCCACAACAGACACCCTGCGAGGTAGGCGAGGCTGAGAGAGCTCTGACAGAAACTGCTCTTTTTCAAGAACAGCTCTTATCAGAACTACGGCTTGCCCAAGGTCATCCAGCCAGGTGCAAGTGGAGGAGGGGGGACTCAAACCCGGTTCTCCCAGATTAGAGTCCGCGCACTTAACCACTACACCAAACCAGACAATCAAAGGAAATGTATAGAATGTACCGGCAATATTAGAGCACCGGGAAGAAGACCAGATACCCAAATGCAGATGCTCAAAAGGAACCATCACAAAGTAGAAGATTAAGAAGATAACTTAGTAGCCATTAAAGGCTTCTAGTCTTAGTGTAACAACAGCTTAGAATAGAAATCATGATTCCGGTGCACCTTTCTCAAGTCCTTGTAGCCCACAATCCAGACAGCCTTTTAATGTGCTCGCGAGTGATTTGCAGTGTTCAAGCTTGCAGTGGTGTCTTTCTCCTTTCTTTTCAACACAGTGAACTTCATCCTCCTTACCCCCCTTTTAAAAAATGCCCCCAAGAGCAACTGTTCCGATAACAACCAAAAAATTTCCACTCTATTTATTTACATTCCACTTTTCTCCTCAATGGGGACTCAAAGCAGCTAACGATACAAGGAGAAAAGATAGTGACAGGAACAGGCAGGGGGAAAGAGGGGAAGACTTCCGAGTGTCACCCAGGTCTTCTCTGTCTCAGCTGATCTATGAGCACAGAATTAAGCATATGCCCGTATGCACATTCACATACATGTGCACTTAGATTGTGCCCAAGATGTTTATATAAATGGGGAAAGATATTAGCTAGAGGAGGTTGTGTTTTCCTGAGGAATCAAAAAAAAGGAACATCTGGCTTAAATGTGGGAACCATCACTGCAGCTTCAAGGGTGAAAAAACTGAATGTGGAAAGTACTAAATTAGCTATAATGTACATACTGCAATAATTCCTTTTGTAAATTCTCTGCATTGGAATGAATTTTCTTCTCAGTTCCTTCTCTTTGTTGAACATTTGTCATTACGAATAAAACACATAGCAGAAGGCTCTTACTGTCATCTTTTTCTTTCCCTGGGTTGGGCAACTGCCAGAGTGGGTATGAGCTTTGAGCAGCATTCCAGACATCAACCAGATTCAAGGAAAATATATTACTCCACACTCCTGTAAGCATATAGAAAACCAACACTGTCAGCATCTTTGTCGACTTACTTCTTTAGAAGATTCCAGTGAATCAATGTTCTTTTTTTTTTTTTAAAGCATGGAATAATCTACCCGTATTTTTCGGACCATAAGACGCACCTGACCATAAGACGCACCTAGTTTTTAGAGGAGGTAAACAGGGAAAAAAATATTCTGAACCCTGGGGCTGTCATTCTAGTTCCTGAACACTCCTGGCCCTGCCATTCCAGTTCCTGAAATGCGCCATGCGGCGGGGGGGGGGGCAGCGCCGCCTTCGGTCCATAAGACGCACTCACTTTTCCTCCCACTTTTTTTCAAAGAAAAAGTGCGTCTTATGGTCCGAAAAATACGGTAAGTTCTGACAGCCAACTGTGGAGGGACTTCGTCCATGGCAACATAACAGTGGTTCACAGTTGTAGAGCTGGCAGCGAGTAGGCAGGGGAGAATGAGTAGCCTATATTAGAGACTGTGCAAGAAGTGGTATCTGAGTTGTCCCTTCCTTGACTTGCTCCCTTCAGATCTTTCCACATCTATTGTATGTGGACTCTGCTTGACACCGCAAAGAGTTCCAGAATCCTGATGCTAACATTTCTCAAGACAACACTGCTGGGTCAATATGACAGGTTTTCTTATCAAAAGCTAATGATTCCTCTTATCAAAATTAAGTTACCTTCCAAAAAGCAGATCTTAGATTCTGGTATTTTCTTCATCAGCCGTCCCATGAAGAATTTACTTCCAAAATTCTCTGAGGGAATGAAGCCCCCATATTTAGGAAATCCCACCTCATAGGGGGAGAATTCACACCACTCTATAAACAGAACATGAGATAACTAATTGAGAGGACATATCTCCTGTGTTAAAACATGTAAATCAAGTACCATAAGTATAAACATGATATAAACTGGAGTATAAGAGAATAATGATGACAAAAAGTAGCAAGAAACCTACATAAATGAGCAGTTATTGACAACACATCTCAGGAAAAGCTCAAGGCTTTACATCACACTTCCTTTCATAATTACTGCCTCTGCAAGCTAGCAACAAAAAGCACCTATATAGATATGTTTGCTGTAACTCACAAGAGTGCATATAATCTTTTTGAAGATATATTGTTTATTAGGTATTTACACATATTTTGTTATTGCTGTAATTATTTTACCTTACACTGTATGTGTCATTATATTTCCTCCGCAATTTTGTGATCCTGGTTTTTTAGGATCATGAAACTGCGGAGGAAAACGGGCGAAGCCCCGAGTCAAATGCAGCCCCGCAGCTTCGGGTGTGAAATTGACACGTTTGTGTCGAGGCAAACAGCGCTGTGCTGCGAGGCAGCTCTCGTGAGAAATCACCCCTAGTGTTAGCATCTTTTTCACACAGATTGCCTTAAAACTATATACAAATTTGTGAAAACAAAAATGAGTCTTGTAGCATGTTAAAGACTAACAGATATACTGTGGTGCAAGCTTTTGTGTACTTTCTGGGGTTTGGCCACTGTGTGACACAGAGTGGTGGACTGGATGGGACATTGGCCAGATCCAACATGGATTCTTTATGTTCTTATGTGTATCACAACCTGCTTCATCAGATGCATGAAGCATGTACTTGTGCTGGAAGATATAGACATACATTTAGCAGAGGGGAACTGTGTAAAATTGTTGAGCCAGTCAAATGCAAGAAGTAACTCCTGTATGCACAAAAAGACTTCCCAGCATAAATCATAAAGGAGAAAGAAAGCTGAGAATGAGATGCTAGCAAATAATAATAACCATGTATAGACTGGACTAAATTGGAAATTTTGCATAAGAAGAAAGTGAAATTAGCTTTACATGCTTTCTCATTAAATGTCTATTGCCAATCTAATATGACACCTAGAGGTCTGCGTATGCAAAAAGGACCAGCCATGTTTTTGGAATGTGAGGAGTTCCAGAACAAATGGATTGCTATCCTTAATAAGTGTTCATATGATTTAATGTTACTCATTATTGACCAAGCATTTACAGAAACAGAAAAACTTGATCTAGAACTTAAAACAATGGAGGATAAGCTTAAAAACTCCATGCCTCCTGATCAATGTTCCCTCTAAGCTATGGAGTCCTGTGAGTAAAAATTCTACTTTGTGAGCTGCTGGCATTAAAGTTGTGAGTGAGCCATTTGGCTACTGCAAGATTAGTTTGCTCTGGAGCCATCCTTCCTGAGCTAAGACAAACATGTGTGAGCCGGAGGCTAAAAAACTGTGAGCTAGCTCACACTAGCTCAGCTTAGAGGGAACACTGCTGCTGATATTTCGGGAGCTGTATTAAAGCCCTGGAGGAAGAATTAAAGTATTTCGAGAAAAAAACTAAGAATAATAAAATCAAAAAATATCAAAGAGACAATCAAGATTATGTCCAAAACAGGATTTATAAATGGTGCTCTCCCAATGAAAATAACACTCGATGAGTATCGTGGGCAGACTCCTGGATTACCCATTCTGATCATGATACCACAGAAGCAGAGGACTCTACTAATACTTCGGGGGGATGAAGGCCCCTCTTATAGACCTAGTCTTTATAGAAAAATTTAAAGCATGGTCCAGCAGAATTTTTTTGCACCAGCTTCCCCCACAACTCAGGAGGAAGAAAATCTAGTTACTAACTTATCCTCGAGAGCACTCACATCTCAAGAAATTCATCTTTTGAACATGGGCCTAGGTTTTGTCCCAACACCAAAATACAATTAATTTCAAACTAGAATTGATCTCTTTAAATTGTTTTTGGCAGTGAAGCAAATTCAAATTTTGTCCTTTTAAACCCAAATCTCAGTTTGTACCAAATATTACTGTTCCTCCTCTATTGTAGTTTTTGAATGTCTGATCCTTGAAGATATTGAGGCTTTGGAGAATTCTAGATATCATCATAAATACAATCTTACTTTAGAAGAGAGTAAAATATTGCAAAATTTGGTTAATGATGACAGACAAGGGTAGTGGCATTGTTATTTTAGACAAACAAGATATTTTATAGTAAACCACCTTTTACAGGATACTGATTTTTATTTGCCTATTCCTTCTGATCCTACAACAGAGATTTTGAGAATTATTAAAACTGTGATTAACAAGGCTTTAGCCCTGGATTATATTAATCACTCTACAGCGGAATACTTAGTGAATAAATTTCCTAGACTACCTATTTTCTATATATTGCCTAAAATCCACAAACCTGGCTTGCCACCTCCCAGGCGCCCAATTGTTTCTGGTTCTAATTCAGTGTTGGAACCTCTTTCTAAATATGTTGATTTCTTTTCCCAACCTCTGACACAATTGATTCCTTCTTTTCTTAAAGATACTAAAGATTTCATAACTAAAATTGAAAATATGCCAGTTCCATCCAATGCAATTTTGGTTACTTTAGATGTAGTACACTAATATTCCCCATGAGGAAGCCTGTCAATATATTCAACTCCTACACATTTCTTAATGGATTTGGTTGACATAATTTTTGAAGGAAGTTTTTTTAGGTTTGAAGATAACTTCTATTTACAATTTAGAGGGGTAGCTATGGGGAGCTCTTTTACCCCCAGGGTGGCAAACCTTTTCATGGCTAAATTTGAATCTGATTGGCTTTCTAACCCTTTAACTAATCCGTTTTTTGAAAATATTTTTTTCTTCAAAGGGTTTATTGATTATTTGTTTCTTGTTTTTAGGGACATGACGAAATGTCAAGGCTTTGGAGATTGGCTTAATCATAGACATCTCACTATAAAATTTACTTCCCATCAGAGCTCCACTGAAATTAATTTTCTGGATACTGCAGTTTTCATTACCCATTCTAGAAATTTGGCAGTTAAGACTTACACTAGACCATCGGACAAGAACTTGCATTTACATTTTAGTTCTCACCATGTGAGATATTTAAGGTATAACCTTCCTTACGGCCAATATCCTCATGCTAAGCATAATTGCACATTTACACATTATGAGATAGAATGTAATAAGCTTAACAGCCAGTTTTTAGCACAAGGATATCCTACTCATGTTATTGAAAATGCCTCCTCAAGAACATAAATTAGAACATGCAGGAGCCTCTTTGAACTTGCTTTTCACAAACCTCGATCTGACAGTACTTTGTGTGCTTTTGAATATACTCCATTTGCTGAACAGATTAAAAAGAATGATCATTTAAAGGCATTGGCACATTGTTAGTGGCATTCCCGGCTGTACAGAAAAGCCACGAATTGGCTTCAGAAAAACCAGGTGCCTTCGAGACATTCTTGTGCAGGCCAATGTAACTCCTCCTGTTAGAACATTACTGGCAGGTGCCAACCATCACCACTGTGGGAGATGTTCTGTATGTCTGCAGACATGGGAGACTGACAGATTAGTCTTCCCTAAATTTAATTTCGAGGTTATATTGAAACATTTCTCTAACTGTGCCTCTAAATAGATAATTTACCTAATCAAATGTCCTTGTGAAAAATGCTACATTGGCATGTCTACACATACTATACAAACCCATATTATAGAGCATAAATCACAGGTCCGTCAACAACATCTAGATTCACCCTTGGTGCCTCACTGTATTGAAAAGAGTCATGATTATAATGACCTTTCATATGTTGTATTGGAGACTTTAACTGCTAATAAATATAATAGAATTTATGTACAAAAGGTATTATATAAACGTGAAGCATTTTGGATCCATCATTTAAAATCTTACCATCCCCATGGGATTAATCATGCTGTATATTTCATGTTTTTTTGTAATTGGGGAGCACCGTTACTGTACCTTTAATTATTACAGCCAGTTTTGAGGTCACTGATTATTGGACTTAGCATCTTGTACTTATTGGGAGGAGTTCAGCACACAGAGGCATTCCAGCAATCAATTTAACAAAGTTATGTCTTAAGCTTTCTGACTGATGCCCGTTTAAGAAGCTTGCTGTTAATTAATTTTTCGAAATCGCATTGGTGAGTCATAGACTTATGTATTATAATTTATATATTTTGGTTCCAGTCTCACCATACTTATGGAGCTTTTTTCTCACAGATAATTATAAAATTGACCACTGCAAAGGAAGTACAGAGACACAACCATATGATGGTATTTGTATTGTAACTTATTTTAGTTTTGTCCAGTCTGGCATGTATAATTTTGACAATTATATATTGCTTTTATATTCTTCTCTAGTAATATATTCCTGAAGAAGCAGCTGAACGAAACGAAGTATTAATCTGGAATTAACTTATTTTAGTTTTGTCCAGTCTGGCATGTATAATTTTGACAATTATATATTGCTTTTATATTCTTCTCTAGTAATATACTCCTGAAGAAGCAGCTGAACGAAACGAAGTATTAATCTGGAATCTTCGTTGTGTTATATTGACCTGTTGTACGTTATACCTACCTGTTGAATATTGAAATATTTACCTGTTGAATGTTGCTATTGTTATAGTTTTGACTTGTTACCACATTTTTGAGATAAATGTTTATTATTAGTTGCTAGCATCTCATTCTCCGCTTTCTTTCTCCTTTAAGAAGTGACTCCTGTGACATTCATTTGCAATGCTCAAAGCTGTATACGATAAGCACAATAATCATTCACAGTAGCATAATGTCCATGATGAGCTAGGCTAATATAATACCGGTGAGACATTTTTAGGATTTTTCTCCCCATTTAAACTGAAGGACAAAATAACATCATGGGGCTGGTTACCTTTAAATTCAAAACTGCTTTGGGACTTCTCCTTGACATTCAGGGCCACGTAGATGGGCAATGGATTTTGTCCTACACTCACAGCCTGTTGCTGATTTGATAGTTTGCTGTCATTCAGCTAAGCAAGAGAAAACAGTGACACACAAGAAACAAATTCATACAGAGAAGAAATTATGAAGCAACTGATGCTTCCAGTACTCATTCTTCCATATGGAAAAGCCAGAATGTTCTGGAAAAGAAATAAGCCCTCTTGATGGAAGGTGGGGGTCCATGCAGTACATACCTCATCATGGAACATGCGGTCAATAATAAGTGACCACAGATCAGTAAAAGAAACTGAATGGCCCTCTTGAACCCTCTGCTGCAGCTCCATGTCATAGTGCTTTAGCGCGTCCATGGAGAATGCACTTGACTTGCTTCTGGTAATACCTTTCCTTGCTTTATGGATCAGGCCCACTAGATCCTTCTGAGACCAGTTAGCATCCTCATACAAATTTCTCATGGTCCTAGGGGGGGAAATGATGCTGTTTACAACAAGACAAGAATGTAATTGGTCCACTCCTAACACCATTCGCAGGTAAATTGTTTTAAGCACAAACAACATGACACTTCTGTGATTAGAATTTCTCAAGATTTTGGGTTTTTAAAAAATAATTAGCAGCTCCACATAGCTGCTTTGAAGACTGGGGACAACTACCTGGGGAGTGGGGTTAGCATTTAGCCCTTTCCTCTATGCCTCTTCCACTGAACTGAATGGGGGGATGGCTGCCACCACTAGACCTAGCCAGCAAGCCAAGCCCAGATTGGCCAGTGCTCCCATGCTGAGCACTGATAGGCTCCCCCACCCTCATGATTCCTCCAAGGAGGAGGGGTGGGCAAATGCCACATCTGCTCCATGGGCCAGCATGAGTCATCCATTAATTGAGTTCCAAGGGGAGGAAAGGTACATACAAGTACTGGAAGGGTGTTTCCCTCAACTGCTCATCTCTTTTATTGTAAAACATCAGACCTGCCCTCCATCCCCTGCTTTATATGTAAACAGGGAAGGCATGCAAAAAAAAAGACTGGCACCATCACATCTTGTCTGACCCTCAGCAAACCAGTTTTGCACCAGAGTCCAGAAATACATCTTCATTCAACTATGGCTTTCCAAATTCACTTATGGAATTCACCACTGTGGGATGTAGTCATGGAAACTGCTTTATTTGGCTTTAAAGGAGGGGTTAAGCAAATTCATGGACGATTGGTTCATCAGGGGCTAAATGAAAATGCCACATCCAGAAGTAGTAACTCTCTGAATACCAGTCCTGGAAGCCAACAAGGCAAGGTTTTGGCTGGCAGGTCATTTGAGGCATCTGGTTGACCACCATGTGGAACAGAATGGTAGACCGTCTGATCCTACACAACTGTGCTTTATTGTCTGTGTCTCTTTATAAATGCTTAAGAGACCCCATAAATAAATATGATTTTCAGTGATGCTCTGGAGAACATATTAAACATATGACCCTGTTTTCCAGCATGCAATGATTTCCAAGACATGTTGTTTCCCCCACCAAAAAAATTGTCCAGCATTAACCCAGCATAGGTATACCACTGTCACCATAAATTCCAGAATGAAGAATATGCCCAAGTTACTATGATTCTATTGCATTTGTCATGTATTAAAAAATGCAAAATGTGTAACAGTTAAAGGATAAGGCTAGAACGGCTGGATGTTTGTTAACCCTAAGAGTGGCAGTCATCCTAATATGCCTTACCATGTTGAGCCAGAGGCTCCAGTAATATACGTAACACAGTCTAGGAGGTTAAGTTTCTGAAGAGCAAAGAGGTGGCCATAGAATGCTGACATGGCCCTGACTCCTCCCCCAGTTGCCATGACCGCTAGTACTGGGACCTATGGAAACATAAAAATGAAATCAAACTTGTTATTAGGATGCCTACAAAATTCAGGGGGCTCCCAAAGGAAAAACTAGGATTAAAAACCAAGGAACAAAATATCTATCAAGGGCCGCAATAATACAGACAATTAGACCCAACATAGGCGCGAATGCCGGGCGGATTTAAAGGGCATGATCAGACAACAACATCTGGGAAGCATCCCGCAGCCATCGGCAACCCATTCTGCTCCGCCGCAGAAGCAGAGTTAAAAGACACCGGCTTCCTCAGGGAACTTGACTATGGGAAGAAATGCCTTTGACCTTCTATGTTTGATTGTCCTTGGTAAGCATCCTTGTCAGGCTCCTTATGAAATCTCTGACAATGTTTTCCTGCAGCAGTGTTTTGCTTCGCTGGTGATTTCTTCAATTTAGCGCTCTCTCTCCCTCCCTCCCTCTCTCTCTCTCTCTCTCTCTCTCTCTGTTTCTCTACAGTATTTATAAACTTAATATAAACCTAATCTGCCCAGAAGCGTCCAGACAGTCCAGAACTGGGATGTAAATTCTACTCACTCTTCCTCAGGGAACTTAACTATAGGAAGAAATGCCTTTGACCTTCTATGTTTGATTGTCCTTGGTAAGCATCTTTGTCAGGCTCCTTATGAAATCTCTGACAATGTTTTCCTGCAGCAGTGTTTTGCTTCGCTGGTGATTTCTTCAATTTAGCGCTCTCTCTCCCTCCCTCCCTCTCTCTCTCTCTCTCTCTCTCTCTCTCTGTTTCTCTACAGTATTTATAAACTTAATATAAACCTAATCTGCCCAGAAGCGTCCAGACAGTCCAGAACTGGGATGTAAATTCTAGAGATGCCATCTTGGACTTTTTAAATCTGATTTTTAACTTTCTATTTTAATTCCATTTGTGATTAGAATGTTAACGTTCTCATCATATGTCTTGTGGCTTTATGCCTTTCGTTGCTTAGCGGGGATAGGGCAATTAATAAATCAAAATCATCATCATCATCATCATCTCAATCTAGTGTTTTTTGCACTAATATTTTAGTTTAATACACTAACACTTCAAAGCACTTCTCTTCCCCCATCCATGTTTGGTTACAAAATGAAGCCCACCACACCTCATGTCCTTGCAGTTCCTGGTCCAGCTGAAGAACCTTTTTAAGAGCAGCGGCAACCATGTTTTTCCGCTTATGAAGGAACTCCTGCTCAGCCCCACAGAGATCACATCCCAAACGTACATCTAAAGCTCCAAGGCTGGAATGGAAAGAAAGAGATGAGGATGTGCATGAAAATTTTGCTTCGGTCTCTGATGTATCTGTTGTATACCTTACAATCGAACAATCTGTTCCCCCTTCTGATATTTGTGTGTGTGGGGGGGTTGTCTCATGGGATGGAATCCCCACAGCATTCCATTTGTTAGTTAGTGCATGAGGTCCCTTGTCCTGAAACCAGTTGCTCCCATTCCAGTGGTTTTGAATGCTCCCATCTCTACTGTGTGGATTTAAGAGCAGGAACTTGATCAAGTACACAATACATGATTTGCAAGCAAAAGGGATCATCACACTATCATGTTAGTTTTAAATATAGCATTCATTAATACAGTGCATAAGTCTGGGCCCTCCATCACCATCATTAATAACAGATCCTAATTGTATCTAGTCTCCAACCGTTGTTAAGAGAAGAGACAGAGTTATTTGTTCTGCTGAAACAGTGGATTTTCCTAAAGCAAAATCCAAGCCTTGCTGGATTAGGCTAAACCACATTGCACATGAGTTAAAATGAATAGACAAGAATTTCTTACCAATTGTTAACTTTGAGCTGCAGTATCAAATGTTCGTTCTGAGAAGGAAAATGTCAAGATGAACTATGTTAAGATATGAGGCACATACTTTTTGTAATGGCCATTCTCTAACCAAGATCTCATTGGTAAATATGACATTTCTCGGCATCTAAGAGCAGCAGAAGTAACCACCATCACCTTGTGCTTCTCCCCTTCCACTGCTGTGGCCCCAAAATCACACCAAGGGGTTAACTTTCCCGCTAGGATCTAGACAGTTTCCCCCTTAGATGCTGGCCAAAAGCAAATGTTTGATTGGGGAGAAAAGAGTCAAGCTTACTATTTTTTTAAAAAAGCAATCTAATCCTCATCTTTTTTTTTAGACTCCCAAAACCTTTCTTTGAAGACAATCAGCTACTACAAATTTAACAGTTTACCCCATGTGAACATTACGTAATTAACATTTTTGTCTTTATGTTCTCTGTTCTGAAACTACAATTATTCTTTTCTTCAGTGCATTTTTATCTCATCCCTTGTTCAAAAAGCTCAGGACAGTGCACATAGCTCTCCTGTCTTCTGTTTTAGTAACACAGCAGCTCCATGAAGTAGGTTAGGCTGACAGATAACTATTGGCAAGCAGGGATTTGAACCTATGTCTCACTGGTCCTATTCCTACACTCGATACTCTATACCACACTGGGTCTCTATTTCAAGCACACCTAAAGCTCAAATATAAACATCAGTCCACATACCTTTGTAAAAGGCAAGGTGAATTTTGTTTCTTTTCCCTCTGGAAGAGATTTCAGTGACACTCCTGGGCAGCCAACTGCAGTGTCCCTAAATAGTTTTTTCCCAAGGGAATTACTCTGAAATGGATTGCAAGCATTTTAGTCATCAATAGGTACCCATTCCCTCATGTCCTTTCCTTTTTAAAATGAGGTTCTCCCACTCCCCCCTTTTTATAGGTGAACAAGGCAGTAACATCAAAAACAAACATGGCTGCCATTTTCGTGTCTCGTTTGAGCCTTCCTACATTGGAAAAGTGTCATTTCCATTCTGGGTCATTCTCACATAATTAAAGCTCATTAAGGGCCATATCATAACCACATCCCTACTCTGTAGGGTCATCACTCTACTAGCCAAACCAGCCTCTGGGAGCACTGGAGAAATCAGGGGTCATTTCGTAGAAAAAGAGCTAGGGGGACTCATTAGCATAACTCATTAGCATATGCCACACACCCTGACATCACCGGAAGTGTGTCCTCCCCACAGCCGGCGGCGACCTCCAGCGGGCACCAGCAGGGAGCTCCAGGCCCCGCCCTCCCGCACCTCACCCGGGGGGATGGCGTCCCCCCGCGTCCCCCCCCCAAATGACCCCTGCCTCCAGGTATTTCCCGCCTTAGAGCTGGCAAGCATTGGTTCCCAGTTCTTTACACAATGGAAGTGGAAGATTTCTGAGTCCTGGGTAATCTTCTGTGCTTCTTCAAATGATTCAGTCACCGAAAGGACAATATTTTTATGTTCTAGGGGAAAGTATTCAATGTTCATAAATGTTCCAGTCTTTGTAGAAATCTACAATTATTAGGGTCTGCTAGGGATCTAGTTACAATCTGCTGCTCCTTTAGCTCTTTTCAGTCATTGCAATTTTGGTGCTCCTACTCTGCATATTGGAAAGCTTTTGCAATGCACAATCCTCTCACTATGCGCAGTCACCATTTTTTGTTTATTGGTCAACATGCATATTTTCCTGTGTATATGCAACATGAAACTGAAA